CCGGTAGTCCGCCGAGTGTCACGAAGGACCTTGGTAAATCAACATCACAACTAAGATCGCGTGATTAAGCAAATACACATCACATACACAGAGTTACAGTGGAAATAATATTACAAATGGATTCACAATTAATAGTACAAGTTTGGGTTTCAAAAACCGATTAGTGAAAACAACATAGCTTTCAAATGATTACATTAATATAAGTTCCAAATACATTGCTAGCATAAGTAACATCCTCTGATAAAAGCATATAGATGAGAAATAAATATAGAGTCACTGAGCCCACCGGCGGTTAGCCACCATCTTCAGCAGGCCGAAACTTCACCTGCAACATGGTGGGATAAACCCTGAGTACTTGAATGTACTTAGCTAGACTTACCCATCATAAACCAAAAATAAAGTGACCCAAGAATTATGCAAGGCTTTATAAGTGGAGCTAGCTTGACAATATTTTGCATAAAAGCCACTAATTCAGCTATATATTTTTATAACTCGATCATCAAGTTAATTATAGCTATTCATCTCTAGATTAGCAACTAACCTGTGCCAAACATATGGTATAGCATTTAGTAGCATAACAATAGTAACCATAGCCGGTGTAATAATTCTATGTTTACCATAACCATCATATTCCATAATACAGTTACTACGATGTTGGGACTAGCCAAGTTTCTCACTGACCGGGAGAGACGACGATTCGAATCGATTTCAACCAGCTAGGAATTTATTCCTAACACAAACCTAGGTCTACCAGCCACGGTAGCCTTAGGTCACCTTTGGTACAACTCAGGTCCACATTTCATGGGTTCACCCAGCGCCGCACAATCAGGGGCAACCAGCTGCCAGGACGTTCAGGCCCGGCCTACCCTTGGGCTCATGTCTGGCTCCCCGCACATCCTTACTACCATCCAGAGTGTGCACTTTTACAGACTGGGGCCCGGCCTAAGTTGAGCTACTCGGCTTCACGGTCGGAATGAGTTATCCGGCCAGCTAAGTGATAGACATGCGTTCAATCTTGTCAGAAGCGCCAACAATGGTACGGTCCTTAATCGGCACAGACAGAATCACATGAGTTGACCTACACACAGACTCTGTCTAGCCTCCAGTTACATTATCCCATGGTTCTGTCCACGATAGCAAATATAGTCAACCGTGCTTCGATATTCACCTATATCTCGTAGGTGATAGGAAATCACCCAACTTCTACCGGTCTAAGTATGGCTAAGCATATATTCGATCCTAGACCTACACAGGGTTAAAGGTATATTTCTAGACAAGGAAATTATATGCATCAAGTGGTTTCAATTAACTCTTATAACCTAATGCATCAAACAAAAATGACTCAAGTAATATTTGTAAAAACAAAGGAGGCTTAGAATGCTCTGGGGCTTGCCTGTGATCCAACACTAGATCAGTGTTTGTTAGATGACACTCGCTTGGCGATCATCTCCCATTCAGGTATGTACTCCAGGGGTCTTTCCATCTTCAGGATAGGGCCACCATACACCGTCTTCGGGTTTGGTTCCAACACCACATCCTTCACGTAGTTCATCTAGCATACCTAGATGAGATGCAACTGCATGAATATGAAGAATGGTAATATGAGATGCATCACATAATAGCATCCAAGACAAACATAAGATCATGCAAGACATAGGCACCTAGAGTTATTTAACTAAACATCACACAACCTATAATAGAGGGATAGTAAGCATATTAGGCATGGAATATAAGTGATCTTAAGTTCAAATATTGCACCCATGCATTGATCAAGAACTAACCAACATGTTTAGCCAAAACAAGAGCAAGATAAAGCAACCACCTAGCACATGTATAGAAATCTAGACTGCACATCAATCACTTGTTTTAACCATAACTAGAGATCCAGACATCCGAAGAAGGTGATCCTAGACTTTCTCGAAAGCTAATGAAATTGCCTATAACATTGTTATTATCACTAAAAACTAATTCCAAAGCTAACTAGGTCAAACATACCAATATTTTAGATCTACACAGAACTAGGACAGAAAAGTAGTAGTAATTTCAAAAATGCATAACTAGAGTTACAGACATCAAACAAGCATAAACTTTAACTTTCTCAAAAGCTTATGAAATTATCTAAAACATGTTTATTATCATCACAAGGCGATTCCACAATTAACAAGGTCAATCAAGCACAATTAAGCATCTCTGTCCAGACTTTGACAAATTCTGTCATTCAAGTTCTCAAGCTTACAACTAGAGCTCTACAACACCAAAAGGTCTGATCTAAGATAATTTGGAAAGATTAAGGAAAGCACTATAACTCTTATATTATCACTAAGACTTGATTTCATACTTAACTAGGTCAAACAATGAAATATTTCAAATCTGCACAATGCATAGACCAAACATGACAGGTCATTTGTCAAATTCATACCTCCTAAACTATCAGGCCTACGGTCATGCAATTTGAACACAAGCAAGATTATGAAATTATCTACAACTTTGGTATTCACTACAACCACAAAAAACATCATTTACACTACGAAAATAATTGCATAAGAAAAACTGCACATGCAGCCCAAACAGCAGTGGTACAGAAAACTGATAGGAACTTCAGAGAAGCATAACTGGAGTTCTAGACCTCCAACAAACATGAATCATAACTTTTTGAAAATATTATTAAGTTACCTACAACTTTCTTATTATCATCTCAAGATGATTCTACAGCTAACAAGGTCAATTAATCCAATCAATGCATCTCTGTCCAAAACATCGACAGAATCTGACATGCCAATTTAAACATCTATAACTAGAGTTATACATGTCCAATAAATGTGGTTCTAGACTTTTTAGAAATCTTAGCAAATTCTAAACAACTTTGTTATAAACACCTAGAGCTAATTCTATCATTAAAAAGGCCCCACAGTACCAACAAGGCAACCCTGTCTGAGTTTGGGCAGAAACAGCCACATAAATTTAAGCAACTATAACTAAAAATCTATTTCACAAAAAATTATGCTACTTAGCTTTAAGCTTAATAAAATTAATACAACTCATTTGTTGTCATCATGACATGATTCATAACTTAGCTAAGCCAATTAATACAAACATGCAGGCCTATTTAGAATAGGAGCAAAGCAACACATGGCATTTGTTATTTTTATAGCTGTTAAACTATCAAGCATAAAATCCTGAAATTTTTTCCAGACATCAACCATCACCTTAGTAGCACTCCATAAAGATTTCACATTTATTTTAGCACAACAACTGCAGTTATGAAAAAGACAAGACACAACTAGTATTAAAATCCTAACTGCACAAATTGATTTTTACAGCATAAACTTTAAACTAAAGCATGCCATATTATTGTTCTACTGCATAGATAATTTCACAAGGATTCCAAAAAGTCCTTATTTACTATTTTATAATTTTTCGACTAATTACTACGAATTTGCAAAGTTGATCATCCAGATCTGCATAAAGCAAAGAAAAGGAATGTAGATCTTGCATCGGGGACCCTGCAGGTTCCACAAATTAAACTCGAACAAGCAGATCCTTTCCAGCACTATTCATCTAAGTCATGTCTTCGCACTTAGACCCTCCCACTTGTTCAAATTTCCACGCGAAGTCCCTGCCGTCATTCAGAGCAGAGGAGGTGGCTGGGAACGGCAACCCCGGCCAGTGGGGCTCCTCCCCGGCAGCGAGCGGCGGCGTCACAGCCAAAGGGGCCCCACGCGAACCCACAGAGGGGCGCGGCCCAGATGGAGAGAGCCCCCGGGTGGCCGGTCACAGGAGCCGGCGGCTCGAGCCCGGGCAAACTGGCGGCGACGGCGCTCCGATGGCCTGAAGAGACGGCGGAAAGGCGAGTGAGCTCATACAGTCCAGCGTGCATCCGATGGAGAGCTCGGTGCAGGCGCAGGTGGGCTGTAGGAGAGGGAGCAGCGGCGGCAAGGGAGCTCGGCGGCGGCGGCCATGGTGGCTCCGCTCTGGTGCGTCCAAAGAGCGAGGGAGAGCCTGGCATGTTGTAAGGTTTGGTTGATGACCTATAATTCCATTCACTTAACAGCGTAATTCAAGCAAGAATGTAACTCATCATTTCATGTGACTTTTTGGCTCCAAACTTCGTGAAACTTTTCCACTGGTCAAGATGGATGCACGTTGATGTAATGTACATGAAATAAGCATGTTTGACATTACTCTTGCATAATTTTAACAAGGGTACACATGTAAGTAAGGGTGTGTTGTCCAAGTTTAAGTTGGAGCTCACTCTTGTAGATTTGATCTTGACACCTTCATCACCACTTAACATGTCATGTTTGAACTCAAACTCATTGCTTAACTAGTGACAAACACCTAGGGTGTTACACCGGCTACACCGAGGTATAGAGCTTACAAAGGCGAACTCAATGGTGATGTTGGATTTTGCCAAAGAGCCTTAGATGTAGAGAAATTGCTCATCGGAGTTCGGTCGAGTTCCGTCACCGGCTCACCGCACCCATGAGTCAGCCTCTGCCATCCAAATCATTGAAGTGTGACTCGCCTCCTATCTCCCTTCTGCCCCGTCGTGTCCATGCCATCTTTGGCCCACACCTTAGAGCTTGCACCCTCTGCCGCCCATCACCAGGCTAGCTCGTCCGCCTATGCCTTCTCCAGTTCTCCCCCTATGGCCCATGAGTAGCACGAGCCAATCGATCATGGCCATGAGAAAGGTAGGAGAGGAGAGATGGAGCTGATATGTGGGTTCTACTTGTTGGGTCAATGACAACACACACTTCGTATGCCACATTGATACATGGGTAGGGTCAGATTTGTTTGGACGACTAAGAGACCCCAACAGAGTTTAAGGCCTGAACCGATGCAATTTAAGAGCACATGGACCAGCAATGACATAATATAAGTTTGAGGATCGGCCATAAATTTTACTCGTAATTTTTTTATTCATATTCATGTGATTAAAATTTCTGCACAAAATTAAGAACTTTTTTTTTTGTCTTTTACCCGTTTCTTATTTTTAGGGTTTTGAAGACGCTGGAGATAAAAGCGAGGCCAACAATGATAGCACATCGACACGAAGCAATGAGATATCAACAGAGTATGACTTGAGCCATAACCAGAGGAATGTCTATTCCTCTTACCACAGGATCGTCCCCAACTGTAAAATGAAAGCAGCCAGGGACTGGATGCAGAATTCTTCCCTTGTTGGACGCCGATTGCAGATGGATCAACTTCGTCACTGTACAGTTCAGGCACAAATGAACCATTCTCAAGTTATGTCTGTTTGGGGGATACCTGGCGTGGGGAAATCAGCTCTTGTCAGGAACTTGTACTGCGACAGGATACTAGAGAACCAGCAATTTCAAGAATACGGTTGGGTGGGTTTATCACACTCCCGACCCTTCAATTTAAGGGACTTCTCACGGAGCTTGCTTATGAATTTTCATTCAGAGTCTCTTCAAGCCAAGGAAACTGCACCCTCTAATAAAGTGGGGATCAAAGGCGCCATTGGAAAGTGTCGTGAGGTTCTAAGTACACGTCGGTGCCTTGTTGTTATCGATGGTCTTCAGTTCATACAGGACTGGGATTCGATACAATCTTCGTTGGTATCTAGACACTCTGAATCTAGAACTGTCATCATTGTGATAACAACTAAAGCAAGCATTGCAACATACTGCGCAGATAAGGAAGAACTTGCGTTTAATGTCAAAACTCTAGAAGCTGATGCAGCCTTTGATCTCTTCGAAAATGAGGTGTGTTTCCTCGATCCGCCCAGTATATAGATCAGAAGTAAAACACATACATAGAAACAAACATGTATATACATGATATCCTGCTACTTCAGTAACCTCGGTATTTTCCTGCATGCATGTATGTCCTTGCTCGTACTTACCATTTCACCCAGGGACATCTAAATATGGCATGAGATAATAATTGATAAGTTTATCATGTTAGATAATTAGGCATTTTCAATAGCAATTTAATCCAGAAAAAGACGATAAACAAAAGGTTGGTGACATCATACATGTTTTATCTAAGCATGAACGTCATGTATATGATACTAACCAGCAAGGTAAGTACACAAGACCTTACTGGATAACGGAGAACAGAGGCATACCCAGCGGCAGAGCCGGATGCGCTAGTCGACATAGTGTCTGTCGGTGTAGTCGTCCTGCTCGTTGCAGTGCAAGAAGGAAGCAGTGCCGATCACCAGAGACGTGTGCCGGCGCTGGGAAGAAGAAGACGGTCGATGCGAGTAGTCGTGCCGCCAACGACACTCCCCAAAAATGTGATTGCCGCCCTTCACTCGAGCAGGTGAACTCGAAGACGGCAGGCGTTCCCGAGGCTCTACTCACCCAGTTCCTGTGCGCGCAGGGAACTGGGACGGGGAGAACCAAAGAGCAGCAGATGTGGTTGACTCCGAAGCGAGGAAGAAGATGACTAACGGAGGAGTTGGGAATATATGCTCGCGGTAGGGAAGCGACGAGTCTCAGGAGGAGATCAGGAGACAGAAGAGCTCTGTCCATCAAGGCTCAGCCAGCGGTAACGGGTGAAACTCCCATCATCAAGTCGCCACTGATTAAAAATGGAAGAAACTCCCGTAATTATGCGACTTAATTGGCAAAACACAGCTACGTCCGTCCGATCGCCGCCGCCTGCCTCGCCTCGCCACGCCCACGCCCACGCCCACGCCCACGCCCCGGCCGGCAGCGCCGGCAGCGGCACGCACGCGTGTGGCACACTTATGTCCTTTTCTCTGCTTCTCAATATAGATGAACAATATTCAACCAAATAAACCGAGTCAACGTCTAGTCAAAATTCTGTATGGTATTAAACCATACACCGCGCATTATTACGGGCCATAGAGTTTATTTAATTTATTAAATATTATATGGGCCAAGCCCGTAATATATCCAACAATCCCCACCAAACTCTAGGGTTCACAGTAAACTAGTCTCAAAACCACATTTCTTTGATATACAAGTGTTTCGATGGATACTGTTAAGTTGAACATCCATCTAGAGCCGTAGTTACACTCAATCACAACTGAACAATGGGCTATGCCTTGAATTGACAGTTTTGTGTGAAGTGAGTTTTACTAAAGTTCTTAACTGGTACTAGGCTACAAAAAGCATCCCCTCTATTTCAAGCATATAAGTCACAGTTCACGGCCTTTCATGAGTATCTAGAGATTATCCACATCTCATAGATTGTGACTAGCAATCGAACTCATATAGGTGTGTTCCTTCTAGGATGTCCTGTAGGATAATATCCCTGCTTTAATAAGCCACTCGGATCACATTAAGAAATTAACCATCCTGCCTTACAGCATTGGAGAAACGGTGCATCTCAAACGATTCGGGCCTTAACATAAGGGGTCTCTCCCTCAGTCAACCACTAGCTTGTTTCACTATCCTACTTTACGGGATCTCCGATCACATAGAACAGGTTACCACTATGGAATGACTTCAAGTGGATCTCAAGCCCAACTCCCTCGATGCACCTTCTATCACATTACGTGACAAACCCTTAGTAAACTGATCTGCCAGATTTTTAGATGTATAGACATAGTCCAATGCAATTACTCTGGAGTTTCTCAGTTTTCTGACAGATTTTAACCGCCTTTTTATATGCCTTGTAGACTTCATGTTGTTCTTAGAACTGTTCATCTTAGTTATCACAATTTGGTTGTCACAGTTCATAGAAATAGCCGGTATAGGTTTCTCTACGACCGGTAAATCCATAAGGAGTTCACGAAGCCACTCGGCCTCAGCGCTAATGCTATGAGTTCTGCTTTTATTGTAGACTTTGTTAAGACAGTCTGCTTGCAAGACTTCCAAAAAACAGCGCCACCTCCAAGCAAGAACACGTATCCGCTTGTGGCATATAGTTCATTAGCATCAGATATCCAGTTAGCATCACAGTAACCCTTCAGTACCCTCGGGTACCCGGTATAGTGAATGACATAGCTCATGGTTCCCTTCAGATAGCGCAACACCCTCTTAAGAGCGTGCCAATGTGTATCTCCCAGATTTGAAACAAACCGGCTAAGTTTGCTCACAGCAAACGCGATATCAGGTCTTGTTGCACTAGCCAAATACATTAGTGAGCCAACAATTTGAGAATATCTCAATTGATCCCGTGCTATTCTGTGATTTTTCTTAATAGCACACATGGGTCATAGGGAGTTGGAAAAGGCGTGCATTCACTATAAAGAAAACGATTTAGCACATTTTTTACATAGTGGGATTGCACAAGTGTTACCCCACCATTTCCTTCTCTCAGTAACTTAACGTTAAGAATAACATCAGCCTCACCCAAGTCTTTCATCTCAAAATTATTAGACTGGAAATCTTTCACTTTCTTGATCACATTAATATTATTTCCAAAGATTAAAATATCATCCACATACAAGCACAAAATTACACCTTCTTCCCCACCATACCGATAATAAATACATTTATCAGCTTCATTCACTGCAAAGCCAGCTAATGTCAAAGTTTTGTCAAACTTCTCATGCCACTGCTAAGGAGCTTGCTTTAGACCATACAAGGATTTTAATAATTTACAAACCTTACCCTCTTGACCTTTTGCTATAAATTCATCAGGCTGATCTATGTAGATCTCTTTCTCAAGCTCTCTATTCAAGAAAGTTGTCTTAACGTCCATATGATGAACGAGAAGACCGTGTGAGGCAACCAAAGACAACAGCACACGTATGGTCGTCAAACGGGCAGCTGGTGAGTAAGTATCAAAATAATCCTCTCCTTCCTTTTGAGTATAACCTTTAGCCACTAGCCTCGCCTTTTACTTCTCAATAGTACCATCAGGCCTTAGCTTCTTTTTGAATACCCATTTACACCCCACTGGTTCAACCACTTCCCAAGTTCCATTAGACATAATAGAATCCATCTCACTTTGAACAACTTCCTTCCATAAGTCAGCATCAAGAGATGAATATGCCTCAGCTATGGTTGTGGGAGTGTCATCCACAAGGTATATAATATAGTTTTCATCAAAGGATTTTGCAACCCTCCGTCTCTTACTCGTATGAGTGACTATATCATTATCCTCCTCAGGAATTTCTTCATGGGTTTCAACATCAGCGTGTATTACGGGTTCATGTGTCTCAGGCAGAAAAATAGATTCATGACTGGAAGTGCTAAGTGTATTCTTCATGGGAAATTCATTCTCAAAAAATGTCGCATCTCTAGATTCCATAATTGTACCAACAACCATGTCAGGAACACTAGAGTTTATTATTAAAAATCTATAACCCACGTTGTGAATAGCATAACCAAGAAAGGCACAATCAACAATTTTTGGTCCAACCTTTCGCTTTTTGTTTATTGGCACATTCACCTTCGCCGAACAACCCCAAGTTCGCAGGTAAGAAAGATTTAATCTCTTCTTCTCCCATTACTCGAATGGTGTAATTTCTTTGTTCTTTGTGGACACCCTATTCAGGACATGACACGCTGTCAATATAGCCTCACCCCACTATTCCTTAGATAGTCCTGCAGTCTCTAACATGGCGTTAACCAACTCAGTTAGAGTGCGGTTCTTTGTCTCTGCAATCCCATTAGACCGTGGTGAGTATGGTGGCATCCTCTCATGAATAATTCCATGTACCGTGCAAAACTCAAAAAATCATTTAAGAAATATTCTTCCCCGTGATCAGACCGCAAATGTTTAATTTTCTTTTCAAGTTGATTCTCTACCTCAGCTTTATAGATCTTAAAATAATGCAACGCTTCATCTTTTGATTTTAATAAATACACATAGGAAAAACGAGTGCAATCATCTATGAAAGTTATGAAATATCTTTTTCCACCTTTGGTCAACTCTCCATTCATCTCACACGTTAGAATGGATTAGTTCTAACGGTGACAAATCCCTCGCCGCAGCAGCCTTGTGAGGCTTGCGAGATTGTTTTGATTCAACACATACATGGCACTTAGAACCTTTGACCACATCGAATTTTGGAATTAAATTTAAACTAGCTAAGCGAGTTATGCAACCAAAATTAATATGACATAATCATGAATGCTAAATATTTATCTCATCATCGTGGCTCACATGGTTCACGAAATTAAAACAAGTATCTGTCAAAGACAAGCGGAACAAGCGTCCGCTCTCATAGTCTTTTCCAACAAAAGTACCATACTTAGAAAGTACGCACTTATTAGTCTCGAATACAAGTTTAAAACCATCATGACAAAGCAAAGAACCACTAATCAAATTCTTCTTTATTCAGGGGACATGATGCACGTTCTTTAGCTGCACGGTCTTTCCCGAAGTAAGCTTCAGATCGACCGTACCAACACCACGTACAACCGCACGCGCCCCGTTCTCCATCAACAAGAAGGAAGTCCGCCCGACATGATAAGAAGAAAACAAATAAACATCAGCACACACATATATATTTGCACCAGTATCAACCCACCAATCAGGTGAATGACAAATTGAAAGAACAGTAGGCAATAAATTACCGTACCCCGTTGTTCCTACATCAGTCTCAACTGTGTTTGTTGTTTTCTTGTTTGGATTACACTTAGCCTCCTCGCACTCTCTAGCATAGTGCCCAGGCTTACCACAAGTGAAATAATTTCTCTTTTCCTTGTTCTTCTTAAAAGAAGTGGTAGACTTTTGTTTGAATTCTTGCTGGAATTTCTTCTTTTGGGGCTTAGGATGATTCTTCTGTACCACATGGGCACTCAAACTCCCCTCACTGACCTTCTTGCCATGGACATCCTTTGCTCTCGCCTTCTCTTCAACATCCAAAGAGCCAATGAGCTCAGCAATGCCAAACTCTCATCTCTTATGTTTTAGAGAGGTAGCAAAATCTATCCAAGCCTGTGGCAGCTTAGCAATGATACAGCCTGCCACAAACTTGTCGGGCAACACACATCCAAACATTTCAAGTTCTTTTGCCAGTGTTTGTACCTCGTGAGCTTGTTCCACTACAGAACGGCCATCGACCATCCGGTAGTCATGAAACTGCTCCATGACATACAACTAAGAGCCAGTATCAGACACTCCATATTTGGCCTCAAGTGCTTCCCACATGGCCTTACCAGTCTGTAGCGGCACATATGCATCTACTATGGAGTCTCCTAGCACGCTCAAAATTGTTGCCTTGAACGTATTGTCAGCATGTTGAAACGCACGCTCCTCCTCAGGAGTATGCGGCCCAACAGCCCAAGGCTCAGCAACAAAGTAGCGGTGCATAGCAGTCAACCATAATATGCACCTCTGCCGCCACCTCTTATAGTGAGTGCCCTCAAACACATTCGGTTTCAGCATACCAGCAAAGCCAACTACCGAAAATTGCCTATCACGTTTTTTGATTGTTAGATAATTAGGCATTTTCAATAGCAATTTAATCCAGAAAAAGACGATAAACAAAAGGTTGGTGACATCATACATGTGCTTGTGCGATCTAAGCATGAACGTCATGTATATGATAGTAACCAGCAAGGTAAGTACACAAGACCTTACTGGATAACGGAGAACAGAGACATACCCAGCGGCAGAGCCAAGGTTGGTGACATCATACATGTACTTGTGTGATCTAAGCATGAACGTCATGTATATGATACTAACCAGCAAGGTAAGTACACAAGACCTTATTGGATAACGGAGAACAGAGACATACCCAGCGGCAGAGCCGGATGCACTAGTCAACATAGTGCATGTTGGTGTAGTCGTCCCGCTCGTTGCAGTGCAGGAAGGAAGCAGTGCCGATCACCAGAGACATGCCCGACGTCGGGAAGAAGAAGACGGTCGATGCGAGTAGTCGTGCTGCCAACGACACTCCCCAAAAACGTGATTGCCACCCTTCACCCGAGCAGGTGAACTCGAAGACGGCAGGCGTTCCGGAGGCTCCACTCACCTAGTTCCTGTGCGTGCAGGGAATCAGGACGGGGAGAACCAAAAAGCAGCAGATGTGGTTGACTCCGGAGGCTCTACTCACCCAGTTCCTGTGCGCGCAAGGAACGGGGATGGGGAGAACCAAAGAGCAGTAGATGTGGTTGACTCTGAAGCGAAGAAGAAGATGACTGACGGAGTTGGGATGTGGTTGACTCCGGAGGCTCTACTCATCCAGTTCCTTTGCGCGCAGGGAACCGGGACGGGGAGAACCAACGAGCAGCAGATGTGGTTGACTCCGAAGCGAAGAAGATGACTGGCGGAGGAGCTGGGAATATATGCTCGCAGCAGGGAAGCGATGAGTCTCACGAGGAGATCAGGAGATGGAAGAGCTCTGTCCATCAAGGCTCAGCCAGCGGTAACGGGTGAAACTCCCATCATCAAGTCGCCACTGATTAAAAACGGAAGAAACTCCCGTAATTATGCGACTTGATTGGCAAAACACGGCCCCGTCCTGCCACGCCCACGCCCACGCCCACGGCCCGGCCGGCGGCGGCGGCGGCGCGCGCACGTGTGGCACACCTATGTCCTTTTCTCATATTCTCAATATATATGAACAATATTCAACCATATAAACCGATTCAACGTCTAGTCAAAATCCCGTATGGTATTAAACCATACACCGCGCACTGTTACGGGCCATAGAGTTTATTTAATTTATTAAATATTATATGGGCCAAGCCCATAATATATCCAACATATCACAGTTGGACAGAGATCATAGAGTATCTATATGAAATATTTTATTAGCTGTAAATATTAGTGGTAAACATCTTGATACTTATGACTACTAAGATTCTAGTCCAGATGTGAGCATGAGTTGATGGACTAGTGTATATAATTATATAAGTACATTATGTGAAAATCCTACGCAAATTAATGGTAATTAAGGTCAGTTGTTGATCTGTTTGAATGTACAGGTAGTATCTAAGAAGACTCTATTGTCCGCTTCACCATCTTATCGCGAAAATGCGGTGCTGCGAGAACTTATTTCAAAGTGCGGGGGCCTTCCCTCAATAATAGTGGCTATGGCTGGCATATTGGCTACCAAGGCAGCGTGGATGGACGCTGCAGGTTCCATCAATCTGAGGTTTATAAATGAGGTAGAGATGAACCCGGAGTTTCACAGCCTATGGGATCTATTTAGTTGGATGAATTCCTGCTTCCGCACTTGTCCGGATTCCATCAAGCCATGCATCTTCTACCTATCATTTTTTCCTAGAGACCACAACATTCGGCGAAGGCGTCTAGTAAGGCGTTGGGTCGCTGAGGGCTACTCCAGGGACAGTGATGATAAATCTGCAGAGGAGAATGGGGAGGAGTTCTTCTCCAAGCTCCTCAATCTGAGCATAATCCAACCGGAGTCATCAGCCTTCAGTGACGCAAGGGTGGTCTTATGCCGAGTCAATGGATTTTTGCGTGAGTGCATCCTGTCACGGGCAATGGAGGAAAACCTTGTATTTGAACTGACCGACACTAGCAGCCCAACCACCAAAAGCAGTGGACGTCATCTTGTCATATCTGAAAACTGGGACAGAAATATGACTGTGTTCCAGAGGATCGACTTCTCACGGCTACGGTCAATGACAGTGGTTGGAATGTGGAAATCATTCTTCATCTCCAAAAGTATGAAGCTTCTCCGGGTGTTGGATCTGGAGGATTCATTAGGTTTAACAGATGCAGATGTTGAGCAGATGGTAAAGCGGCTGTGTTGCCTCAAGTTCCTGTCGCTAAGAGGATGCCGTGGGATCTTCCATCTACCTAGCTCAATTGGTGATCTGAGGCAGCTTCAGACTTTGGACGTGATGGACACCTCCATAGTCACTCTGCCAGCAACTATCACCAAACTACAGATGCTGCAGTATATCCGTGGGGGCACGCCTAGTATCTCATCAGAGGATCCATCAGTGCCAAATGCTTCTTCATCCTGGCTGTCCAAGTTCCGCCATCTCAGTCATCTTGTTGGTGTTCGGGTGCCCATTGGGATCAGGGAACTGAGGTCCTTGCACACGCTTGGTGTAGTTAATATAGGTTCTTCAGCGGGGAGGCCATACTGAAAGCGCTAAAGAAGCTCACCCAATTGCGCAAGCTGGGAGTGTTCGGCGTCAACAGGAATAACAGTATGGCGTTTTCCTCTGCAATATCGGGTCATGTCCATTTGGAATCCTTGTCAGTGTGGTTCGACAAAGAAAGTCAATGTTGTTTGGATGACACATTCCTGCCTTTAAAGAACCTACAGAGCCTCAAACTGTACGGGCTTGTAGACAAATTGCAAGTTTTACAGATCGACCAGCTTAGCAAGCTCGCAAAGTTGGATCTAGAGATAACCACATTAAGGGAATGGGACATAAGGTTTCTTGGCGAGCTACCAAAACTATGCATTCTGCGCCTTTGTGTCAATCAGCCTGAAGATGTTCGGCTCCATTTTTGTGTTTTTATAGATGGAGTTGAGCAGCGCTCTTATCAGAAGCTCAAGGTCCTTGAGATTGCTTGCATGTCCAGCTTACATGTGACTTTTGGATCAGAAACAATGAAAAACCTTGATCTGCTGAAATTTGACTGCTGCAGTGGGTCGTCACATCAGCTTTCTGGCCTGGTTCATCTATCTGAACTCAAGGAAGTCTGGCTGAAGGGCTCCTACGAGGAAACACTGAAGCATGACGTGCAGGACCAGCTTGCAGACCATCCAGGGAAACCTGTGCTGAAGCTGGAGGAAGAAGCACCACGTCAGTAGACCTAATGGATGCTACTCTGAATGTCATTTCTCCCTGTCCACGCATTGTCGCATTACCGTTTGTTATATACAGCTCGATCGGATTTTCTCCATCTAAATGCTTGTGTGTACCTGTCCTATGCAAAAAACATCATGCCAACAGACACTGAAGCATATTTGGTACTTCATCTTCCAAACAGATGCATGTTCTCCTAGTTGATGGACAAGTTTAATTTGTGTACCAGGATTGAACATTTGACCTTGCTGCCGCAACAGTTCTATTTATATCTTCATGCAATTTGGTTTTATGGTGGAGAATCTATCATCAGTGACCTCCCTGTTCTTTCAGATTAATTGTTTGCGATTGTTTTTAATTTTTCTTTGGAAATATGTTGTGTTGACTGCTTTTTTTTTTTGCTATATCCTCTTTTGATGGCTTCACGTACACTTGAGGTGTTTCTTTTCGCTAAATCTATATGGCGCTCGGGTGATTCTGGGTGTCGTGTCACTCGATTTCTCTGCCATCCATCTGGTGGCATGAACGGACGCGATGACAGATGGGCGAAGCGCGCGCCTAATCCCGCGCACTCTACTCTCCTATGGCCCCGCCGCATGCACCGGAAAAGGCATCGCATTAATTTCTCTCGTATGGCCCGCCGCATGCAGCTGGAAACGGCATCGCATTAACTAGTGCAGTGGACAGCGCGCCTCTTTCTTCCTCTCTCCTCTTTCTTCTCGCATCCTTCTCTTTCTTCCTCGCCTCCGACCCCACTCCGGCGTCCGCACACCGGCGTGCCATGCGCCGCGTGCACCTGCGGCCCTGCGTAGTTCTTCCTCCCCATCCCCACTCGTTCAGTGCCGACGCCGCCGCGTCGCAGCCCCGGCCAAGGTGCTGCCTTGTGCAAATTCATTTCTTGATTAGTAGCTACATATTACACCTCAATGTAGCATATTTTACTATGCCTACATGGGAGTAAGTTCTATGTTTAATTGGTGTAAATTAACTCTTTATAGATGAGAGTGGTCATTTGGATTACTTGAACAATTCTCTATGTTTTTTTTGCTTTTGACCTTCTTCTAATTTGCCTTTCATAGAAATGATCGGTTGAATCTGTCTTTCTTCTATGTTTTTTTGCTTTGATCTTCTTTTAATTTGCCTTTCATAGAAATGATCTGTGAATTATGTCTTTTTTCTTTGTTTTTTTGCTTCGATCTTCTTCAAATTTGCCTTTTATAGAAATGATTGGTTAGATCTGTCTTTTTTCTTTTGATTTTCTGCTTTGTTCTTCTAATATGCCTTTAATACAACTGATATGTTTAATCTGTATTTTTTATTTTTTATTTTTTGTTTTGTTTTTGACCTTTTCATTTCGTTCTTTGGATTTTGTTGTGGTTATGAGAATCGGGTGACAGATCACCTTGAATCACTCGATTTCTTTTGTATGGTAAATTTGAGTGATTTTATCTGTTCTGCCACTCGGGTGACAGGAGGGTGTAAATCACCTGAGTTTTCAGTAGACAGGCCCTTTCTTTTTCATCTACTCTAATATGAATGCACTAATCAGGGCCCTCAAATCCATTCCAGTATACACTGGCATATGGGACCTGCTCATCATTCGGCCACATCCACTATCGTTTCAAATCAAGTGAGCTATGGTGGCGCGAGAGAGGAGCACGGGAGATAGGGATGACACGGAGAGGTCCGATCGATGGCACAAGGAGGAGAGCCACGGTGTGTGTGTGTGTCTCTCACCAAGGAGGCCTCGCGGGAACGGGCGCCAAGCAGGGGAGCCGCACCAGGCCAAGGGGCTATTGCGCGTACGGTCGCGCTCCGCGTCCGCGCCTACGGTGGCATATAGGCCCGAGTTAGCAGCCTATATGAACATGAAGTGGGCCGGACCGAAAATTTTGAAGCAGGTTTAAAATACGCATCAGTTTGAATCGGGCCACTGATGCAAATAACTGGAGATGGAGATGGAGGCTTTACTTTTAATGTTGATTTGCTTAATTAGATGGCTAGTTGCCTACTTTTGTTGGACTATTAAATGTCAATATTTGTGACTCTGTGTTGAACACTTTAGCAGTTTAGCTTATGTGTACTGAACTTGAATACTTTAGCTTATGTGTACTGAACTTGTTTGCTAAATGCTAGTTATTTGCTACTGTAGGAGTGCTTGCTAATGCAGCAGCAGTGCTGCTGTTGAGCTGTGTCAAGATTGCTAATTATGGTCTTCTTTGGTATTTTAGGTTTCCAGCAACAAGTCAGCAAAGAAATGGAGTTTGGGATAGGAATATGGACCTCTGGACATGGCAGAAAAGAGAAGAAAACAACTCCCACAAATAAGTCACCAGCTAAACACTAATGTAGTCTTGATGCTTGCTTTATTATGTATACTATATATGCCCCGTTCGGCTTAGCCAGAAAACGGCACTATTCAGCTTGTTTTTTCAGCCACAACAGTGTTTTCTCTCACATGAATTCAGACAAAACAGTGTTTTCAGCCAGTTTCAGCCATAATTCAGCAAGCCGAACGGGGCCATAGTATATAGAGGTATATATATAGTAGGTATATATATCCTGATATATAGGACGACCAGGGGTCGACTAGTTCGACTAATCGGCCTGGTCAATGACTAATCACGATTACACTTCTGGTCGGTCCCATGATGACTAGGTTTGCCTGACATTGGGCTGAAGGGCTCCTACGAGGAAACACTGAAGCATGATGTGTAGGACCAGCTTGAAGACCATCCAGGGAAACATGTGCTGAAGCTGGAGGAAGAATCACCACGTCAGTAGATCTAATGGGCTACTCTGAATGTCATTTCTCCCTGTCCACGCATTGTCGCATTACCGTTTGTTATATACAACTCGATCGGATTTTCTCCATCTAAATGCTTGTGTGTACCTGTCCTAGGCAAAAAACAACATGCCAACAGACACTTAAGCATATTTGGTACTTCATCTTCCAAACAGATTCATGTTCTCCTAGTTGATGGACAAGTTTAATTTGTGTGCCAGGATTGAACATTTGACCTTGCTGCCACAATAGTTCTATTTATATCGTCATGCAATTTGGTTTTATGGTGGAGAATCTATCATCAGTGACCTCCTTGTTCTTTCAGATTAATTGTTTGCGATTGTTTTTAATTTTTCTTTGGAAATATGTTGTGTTGACTGCTTTTTTTTGCTATATCCTCTTTTGATGGCTTCACGTACACTTGAGGTGTTTCTTTTCGCTAAATCTATATGGTGCTCAGGTGATTCTGGGTGTCGTGTCACTCGATTTCTCTGCCATCCATCTGGTGGCATGAACAGACGCGATGACAGATGGGCGAAGCGCGCGCCTAATCCCGCGCACTCTACTCTCCTATGGCCTCGCCGCATGCACCGGAAAAGGCATCGCATTAATTCCTCTCATATGGCCCGCCGCATGCAGCTAGAAACGACATCGCATTAACTCGTGCAGTGGACAGCGCGCCTCTTTCTTCCTCGCTCCTCTTTCTTCTCGCTTCCATCTCTTTTGTCCTCACCTCCGACCCCACTCCGGCGTCCGCACACCGGCGTGCTGTGCGCCGCGTGCACCTGTGGCCCTGCGTAGTTCTTCCTCCCCATCCCCACTCGTCTAGTGCCGACGCCGCCGCGTCGGAGCCCGGGCCGAGGTGTTGCCTTGTGCAAATTCATTTCTTGATTAGTAGCTATAGATTACACCTCAATTGCCCTGTTCGCCGCTGCTCCACTGCTGTTGCTCCACTGCTTCGCCTGCTCGTCGCTTGGTGTTGCGGTACTGAAGAGAGAAGAGAGAGCGGCGAAGAGAGAGAGAGAGTAGAGGAGAAAGTGAGCTAGGGTTTCTGAGGAGGCCGGCGACGGTGGGTTTTTATTCACCTGAACTCACTGCTCGGCCGTCGGATCGGCGCGGACGGCCGAGATCAAGCGGGCCAACGATGCGGCCCAGGCGGGCGCGCGCGGTCGAGTCGCTTTGCCGGCCTAGGCCCAGGTTGCGGTCTGGGTGCGGCCGTGCGCCACACAGAGCCGCGGGCCGAGTTGATTTTGGCCGTTTTGGGCCGAGAAAGAAAGAGCAAGAGCCTGTTTTTCATATTTTTTTTCTTTTTCCAGGAAATTGAAAAAATGGAAATTGGCTCAAAAGTAAATAGAAAAAGAGGATTTTCCTGTGGGTAAAATTCAGGAAAATGAGTTCATTTTTTCCGCTGCATATTTAAAGATGTTATTTTCATTATTAAATTCGAACCAACGGGAGAATTTAATCTTGAAAAATAGATATGTTTTAATTGACTATAATATTATTATTATTCTGACCAACGTTGATTAATGGCAATATTATGATATTTTGTCTTGCATTAATTCTATGTCTGCCCAACGGTGATGTAGAATTAGTGTAGAGGACAATTGTATGTTTTAATTTTGACCAACGTTGGAACTAAGGCATGCAATTGTTATTGTTATTATTTATGTTCTCACTCTATTTGAATTATGTTTTCAGGCGGATACAACTTGATGAGTTGTATCAAAGAGATCCCCACTCTCAAAGGTGATAACTACATTAAGTGGAAGAAAAAGATAGACCTGGCCTTCTTTTGGCTGAGGTGGACTGGGTAGTCACCACACCGTGTCCCACAGAGCCTATGGCACCGGTGAGGGAGACAAATGAGGCTGATACAGCTTGGGCAACAAGAGAGAGGGATTTTGCATCCCAAAGAATGTCCTATGACCTTAAGCATAGGAAGTGGGTCACTGCCAACAAAAAGTGTTTGGTTGTGATAAAGAACACGATTGAGCCTGCAATTGTGGGCTCAATCACAGAGTGTGACACCATCACCGAGTATCTCAAAAGAATAAAGAGTCAGTTCACTGGCTCTTCAAAGACATATGCTACCCAGCTGATAAAGCAGCTAGTGACCAAAAGGTACTCAGGTAATAGTGGCATAAGAGAGCACATACTATGGATGAGCAATCTAGCATCCAAGCTAAAATCAATGGATCTGGCTCTCAAGGATGAGTT